CCCACAAAAGGGTTTATAATCTGGTTTAAAGGATACAAATCTACATTGCGAACACACTGTTACAGAAACTTTTCTAATCTAATCCTCTTTACTACGGTTTTAAAAAGAAAATCATTCCCACAAAAGCCACTGAGGATAAAATGAGGCCAGAAGTATCTGCACTGCCCAGAGCCAAGAGCAGCTAACTGAACCAGAGACCAGGAACCCACAGGGGCCAGAAGCCATGGGCTTAACCTGGAAAGCAGTCTGCCCCTTGGCTCAAGAGCCCACCACCCAGGCCCTCCCTGGGCTCTGCCAAGTGTGCTCTTTCTGTGCCAAACGCTGTCGCACTCATCTGCAACCCTCACCTTGATCCCAACCCGTGTCACTGTGAACCTGCCAGGGTCTGGACTCCAGCCCTCGCATGGCGCTCAGATTCTACCAACAATTCTTGTGTTCTCAGTGTGTGAGCTGAGCCTGGCCACAGACTGCAGGCCCTGTCAGCTAGCCGCCTTGTGCTTCCAGGGGCCAAGGACACCTTTCATGTGGATTTAAGAACAGAAGTCACATTCATGTCTTTAAAAATTATCGCAAGGAATATATGCAGGTGGTTTCACAGGTAAAATGAATGTAGGCTTAGAAAAGGAGGTATTTTCTCAATGTAACATCAGAAAACAATTTGGCTCCACTTGGCCTGACCACAAAACATCTGCTTATATTAACTCAAAGGCATTAATATACCTGTATCATGAGTTATAAATGGAAGTTTATTGTGCAGATCATAGAATACTCTGCAACCATTTTGGAACATGTTAACAACTAATCCTATGGGTGAAATAATGAATTAAATTGCTATTATAGGGCTTAATTCATTATTTTACCCTGAGGAAAAATTCCAGAACAGTGATTATGAATTATGATCACAATTTGCTAAAACACTTTCCAATTTAAAACCAATAGCAGAGTACTTCTTTCTCTTTGTTTTCAGGGTTGAGCCTTTTAGTAAGATTTGGGTTAGACTAAGAAGATATGGCACTTAGCTACTATTCCTAATTAAGAAAGAAGTTAGCTGAACATTAAATAGCTTGTCATAAAAGTACTCAACCTGATGTCCTTTTGCCCAATCCACTTGCAGTAATGCAGTAAAAATCAGGGCGGTCTTGCTAGTTCTGATAAGTCACTGACACTGCAAAGCCTAAAGGACTAGCATTATTGGGAATGGTCTTTGGCAAGCTTTTAGACAATGATTCAGTTAGGACACTAAGATGAAATGGAAGTGGGATGCATCCATAGTCATTATGGAAAGAAGAGTCTTATGAAATGAACCTTTATTTTTCACATAAATTAGCTGAATCACACCCGCACACGTGCAGTGAAGGCAAGAGAGCACAGGCACAGCAACAGCTTCTCCGTGTGGGGGCCAACACTGGCTGGGCTGTGGATTCTTACTAAGTGAAAGTTCAGTGGGGCTAATTTTCTTGCCACAAATTACACAGACGGTAAGTGATATAAAGAGGATTCATAACCAACTCTGTCTAGTCCCAAAGCCCATGTCCTTTCCCTCACGGGACTGAGCATCAGTTGCTTATAGATATCCTTGCTGCCAGCCTTCCCCTGGTCCACCCTTCACACACGTAGAGGCTCGTAAGTCATGCGTCTGCAAGGTTAACAAACCTCTGCCACTCACCACTGCCTAAAGGAGAAAGGCAAACGACTACTGTTATTCTAGCTATTTCCTTTAGGCAGAGTAGTGCAGTGCATTAAAAAAAGCTCTAAATAGAAGGTAAAATTCTACTTAAATACAAATGGTTTCTTTCTTAACAAAAAGATAGTGCTATACACATTTTTATCTCTAGCAAAGATATGTGGTCATGCTACAATATTTGGGGGAACATGACATCATTTTCATTAATAAAATTACTTTGTACAAATTTAAGGAAAACTACGAGATTTTAAGGCATTTTTGCCATCATTTGGCTCTAGGAAGGAGCATGATCTAACTGTTCTTCGCTTTCACTTGGTGGCTTCTCCACGTGGCCTGCTCTCTAGTGGAGTGTCCCTGGGGTGATGTCCTTGGCCTTTCTCTTCTCTCCCCTACACACGCTGTTTCAGACGCCAGCAGTCAGATGTCTCCCGCATTTGCATCTCTAGCCCAAGCCCCGAGGCCAGGATCCCCCAGCCCACGAGACACCTCCCGCAGGCCTCCCACAGGCCTCAGACTCACACCTGTCTACCATGAAATTCATCTCCCGGCCAGCCCTCGCCTGCCCACCTTCTGTGCGCCCTCCCTTCTCCCCCTGCCGGCATCCTGTTTACCCAAGTTAGAAAGCTCCAGGCTCCTTCTCCTTCTCAGTTTCTCACACCCCTACTGCCCTCCAATGGATCACCAAGTCCAGTCCATTTCCCCTGACATAGCTCTTATCTTTGCCTTCACTGCCACTCTCTGGCCAAGGCCCTCCTCATCTCTCCACTGCACTGGGCAGCAACAGTGGCTGACCGGAATCCATGCTGCTGTCTTCCTCTAGCCACCTCTATACCTCGAGGCTTCCAGGTCACACATCTGCCTGGGTCTGGTGAGCACTGAGCACGTCCTCAAAGTCAGAGGGTGCATTCTGCAACATGAGAGAAGCTGAAGTGGAAGGCAGGGGCCTGGTAGGCCCCTCTAAGGTATTTGAGCTCAGAATTACTTTTGTCTATAAAGGACAAAGATAGCTCTGCTTATTATGTCACAGAAAGTACCAAAGGCTCTGAGGAAGCGCCCCTAAAGTTCATCCCAGGAAAGTATGGCTAATAGTACCTTCAGTGGAATCAAGCTTCTGAGGTGCTATTTTAAAGGGAAACCATTCATCTGGGTGCATAAATAATTGTGAAACGGAACTGAGCATAAAGTATGTGTGAAACTCCATGGAGCTGCAGCTGCTGCTCTGCATGACCTTTGATCCTGCCCTGAGTGCAGCATGCACACCGCAGTCCTTCCCTGCACACGTGCAGCTGTGACCCAAGAGCCCGAGCGTACCCAGTTTCTTCCGCCCTGTGCAGGGGACAGCTGTTCTGCCTCTTTGCACAACCTGCCACTCTGAAGGAGAAGGGCTGAGAGAACTCAGTTACTGGCACCCACTGTGTGCCTGGCCCTGTGAGGCATGCACCTCAGTCAGCTCACTCAGTCGATAACCCCACTGTGAGTGCTGCAGGGGTTTCAGTCCTTCATGCAGGCTTGGAGAAGAAACAGGAGGTCTGGAGAGCAAGAGGATTCCAAAGCCAGTCCTCAGCCCCCGGTAGCCAATGTTCAAGAGAGCAGACACGTGCGCCTGGCCTCCCTTGCCGGGCCCGGCCTATAGACCTGCATTTGCGACCCCACTCCGTGGGGCCCCGAAGCCATTGGCTGACTCCTCTGCCAGGCTGCCACGTCAGTGTGTTACACAGCTCCTGCGCAGCCACATCACCTACACCACCAGATCCCACTGGGACTCCTGTGAGCTGGGATACGGTAAAAAGGCCCAGGGCGTGGAGCCAGGGCTCAGGGCACAGAGCGTGGCTCGGCTGCGCTGCTGGCTCTGGAGCCTTGGGAGGGCTTTGGAGGTTTTGTGCCTCGTTTTCTTCAACTGTATAGGAGAATAATTCCTACTGCACTGGGTTGCTATGAAGATTAAACAAGGCGAGATGTAAAAGGCTTGGCATGCAGAAGGTATTCCTAAGTATAAATAATAATAGTAATACTTAAAACTAGACAGAATATTCTAGTAGTTCCTGCTGATGATTCTGCTTTACCATTTAAAACACCTATAGCTTTAAATTATACTCAGAGTCACTCTTCCATTCAACAAAAGTTACCAACACTCTTCCAGGCTCTGGGAAGAAGGCACTGAGAGCAGACAAGATGCTGCTCTCACGGGGCCTGTATTCTAGTGCAGGGAGGAGGATGAGGAGGGGTACAGGGACAGAGTGGCTGGGGGCCACTTCAGGTTGGGTGGCCAGGGAAGACATCTCCAAGGACATAACATTTGAGTCCTGTAAGATGTGAAGATGACGGTGAAAAGAAGGGCTTGGCAGCACGAATGCCTCAGTCTGAGAGGCTTGAGGCTGGGAGAAGACTGGAGCCCTGGCTCACTCAACAGAGCTTTGGCTCGATGCTCCACTTATCTTCTTGAGAAGGAGACTTGGGTTGGAAATCTACCAACTGATTATTAATAAGCTCTAGCACTTATTGACTAGGGGACCTTGGGCAAGACACTTTCCTGCTTTTTGCCAAAGTTAAAAGGAGATGGTAAGGCCCCACCACCTCTTAGTGTGATTACTAAGAGTATCATGGAGAAAAAGAATACTTAGAAGCTCTGCCCGCTGTGAACTGCTGCAGAGATTAAGGTGCCGTCATTTGTCAGGTACAGCCGCTGGTAAGCGCAGTAGGTGGGAGCCAGCGTGTCAAGTCTCTGGCAGAGGACAGTGCTAGGCGGGCAGCCCTAGGAAGCCTCAGGTCCGGGGGAGCTGTGCACAGGCACTGCTGGAAGTGAGCCGGGAGGGGTTCTTGCCAAAGCTATCCGTTTCCTTTCGAGACTCCCCCAAGGATGACAAACTAGAGTACCAGCAGCCAGGGGACAGGCAACTGGCAGGAGCTGTGTGAGCAGCTAAGGCGTCACTCTCTTCATTTTCCGTCGTTACTTATGCTTCCTTCACAGTGCCACACCACCGGCACTTCAAACAATTGAAAAGCACCAGAGCAGCAATCATAAAAGACTCACTTAGTTTAGAAGACTATTTTACTCTGCTGAAAAGACATCTAATCTTAGTAAAAATATTCCGAGGCAATTTCGTCTTTAACTATGCTACTGCAAATTTAAAACATATGAAAAGCAAATTAAGAATTAGGAAATTATGTGGAAAAGATGTACCTAAAATATTTATTTATAATTTTAAAAACTCGGTATAAAAATCAGGGCCAGGGCACACAGGATGACGCCCTACTCAATGAAATACTCTTACTGAAAGTAGCTGGAAGTACACGACGAGGCAGAGAGGAGCTTTACCATTTGTATTTCCTCCGGCGATAACTCATCTTCACCTCTGCCATCTCCCCAGCTTCCCAATTCAGGTTGTGCTTCAGCTGGAATCTTTTCTGTTAAAAAAAAAAAAGTTAAAAATAGACAGAAGGCAAAATATTCATTTTAGAATAGGCTGGTTTATCAGATGGAAAAGAAACTGACAGTTTTGTTCATATTCAATCTGTCGGCTAATATTCAGGCAGGGCAGCCCGATTCTCCTACGGTGTTTAGACCTGCATGTGCACGTGTGAGCATGGGTAGAGGGGACCTACGCACAGTTTCAGTATCGCAGTGATTTCAGCAGTGGTTGCAACCACATGGACGTTCTTCAGGACCAGTCTTCAAGCGCAGTTTACCTCTAAACTTACACCCATCATCCCTCTCCCTTCTAAAGACTGTAAAATATATGGGTATTTTGGTTGTAAAAAGAAAATTTTATATATATATACATAAAAATACTAGAAATGACATACCATTCCCTAATCCTCTTCCTCTCCCAGAAGTAACCCGTTATCGATTTGATGTAGCTTCATAGACTTTATCTAAGTATATTCACATCCAAACAGACAGGCAATGCCCTGCCTCCTCCACCTCAACCCAGAAATAATACCTAGTTTTGTGTGTGTGGTGGTTCGTTTTTCACAAAGAAATCAGTGGTAACACACTGTTCTAAAACTTGCTTTTCGTGACTTAACAATGTATCTTGGAGATCATCCTATGTCAGTCCACACAGATCTACCTCCTTCCTTTAAATTGCTGCAAATATTCCATTGCAAGCTTACACCATTCTTTACATAACCATAACTCCACTGATAAACCTTTGGTTGTTTTGGGTTTTTCACTAGTATAATGGTACCATGTGCCAGTCCATGCTCTGCATGCACACTGGTGTACTCCAGGATAGATACCTGGATGTGACCTGCTGACTGGCAGTGTAGGAACGTTTGAATCTAGAGAACTTTTTGACCATTATCAACATAAATGTGGTGGATCCTCGATGAAACACACCATTAGCAGACGCTCTCAGGAAGGGCTGGGCTGCAGCTTAGAGAGGCCTGTATGGCAAGGGGGCGGGTGGGAGCAGGGGGGTGGGTGGAAGGGAATGCTCTGCAGTGGAGACTGTAATGAGGTCTCTGTTTCTAAAGGTGACTTGTTTCTGGTGTCTCAGCGGTGTCTCTGGGCTTGTCAGTGGGCTGCCAAGTACTCAAGGGCAAATAGTGCTGCTTTTTCTTTTCTTCCTCAATCTCAGTAAATTTCCCGTAGCTGATCTCAGCCCCTCAAGATGAGCAAAAGTCCAGAGTTTTTGTTCTGAGACTGATAAGGGAAAAGGACATCATGACAGTACCAATCTAGAGAAAGCAGATAGGCAGACCATGTGTACAGAGGATGGGTATTTGGGATACATCATCACAAAAAACTCCACGTCATCCCTGACTTAGTGCAAGTTTAAAAAAATGGGTGGATGGCTGATTTTACCAGAACTGTTACCATATTTATAAAAGACAGATTTATGTATAGTTTTTATATAACAAATATATATATATAATTTATAAATTAAAGACATATTTATAAAAGACAGGTTGAAAACACCTTTAGGAACTGAGGCGGTGTTTTCTGAGATGGGAACACCCGTACTTTTCATGCATCCCACTCCTGGCCTTGGAGCCCTCTGTCTCCTACTTGTCCTCATGATGGTATCTATGTCAAGCTTCTACTTTTTTGTTTTTTAAGGATAAGAACACTAAAATTAAAAACTGAAACACTGTTCACATCAGAACCCAGCATAAATTGGGTAAAGATTCACCCCTAAGTTTTCTTGTAAGAATTTTAGAGTTTTACCTCTTAGATTTGGGCCTTTGGCCAATTTTAAGTTAATTTTTGTATATGGTGTGAGGTAAGGGTTGAGGTGCATTCTCCAGTTTTCTCAGCACCATTTGTTGAGGAGACTGTTCTTCAGACTCTTTGTCAAAAGTCAGTCGACTGTGGGCACAGGGTTTTATTTCTGGATTCTCAATTCCATTCCATTGATCTATGTATGTATGTTTATCCTTGTGCCGGTGTCACACTGTCTTGGTTACTGTAGCTTTGTAGTAAGTTGTGAAATCAGGAGGTGTGAGTCCCCCTACTTTGCTCTCCTTTCTCAACATTGTTTTGGCTCCCCTGAGTCCCTTGCGCTTCCCCCTGATTCTGAGTCTCCAGTCCCCACCTGACTGGCACACAGTGATGTCAGGCCCTTTCTCCTGGACCCTGCCAGCTCCCAGGTGACTGGGGAGGTCCTCCTGCCCTGCCCCAGCAGCAGTCAATAAGATCCGACTGTGAGAGAAAAAACGCTGTTCCTCCATGTTTCCTTTGCTTTAGGCAAATACAAACACTACAAGATATCTGGGATTGTGTGCCTTCTTTTCTCTGCTTCGCATTTTTGCCAACATGTCATAAGGAAGAGATGCAAGGCAAGACTTTGATTTTAACTTACCTGGATATTCCTCAGTGATAGGCTTTTCTTCAGAGTCTTTTGAAGGATTCTGTGAAACTTTCTCAGAAAACATGGATTCTTTTGTTTTTGTATTTGGTTCTGGTTCCAGCTTAGATCTAAAAGGAAACAATTAGCAGTCATAAAATTTACTTATACAACAGAGTTCTTTCTTGACAACAGAAAGGAGTCACACATGGCCCCTGCACAGCTGTTCCTTGCAGTCTACCAGGGAGCAGACGTACAGCCTCTGGGGCCAGTGACCACCCCAACGCAGCTCTCAGAGGGCACTTATCACAAGGGACTGGTGTCACTGTCTGCAGGGTGAGGGCCACAGCACGCCGGGGAGAGGGCAGCCAGTATGTGCTGAAAGAGAACGTACGAGCCCGCTCCACGTACTGACACCACTCTCAATGTGTGGGCAGCAAAAGCCGACTGTTCCAAGTTCAACAAATCCAGAAGCCGGTCGTTTTACACCAATGAAAAGTATTGGTGAATACACACAAGTGTGTTATGTAATATACATAAGAAATATCTTAAAGTAATTTAACTATAAAAGCACAAATCCTTTTCTTTTCTTATTTTTAAACTGGTTTTCCAATATCTTTTTTTAAACACTGTATGTGTTTTGTTTTTTGTTTTGTTTTGTTTTGTTTTGGTGAGGAAGATTGTCCCTGAGCTAACATCTGTGCTAATTTTCCTCTATTCTGTATGTGGGGGACTACCACAGCATGGCTTGATGAGCAGTGTGTAGGTCTGTGCCTGGGATCTGAAACCGTGAACCCCGGGCTGCTGAAGCTGATAAAAGCACAAATCTTTAACTATCCACTGGATGGAACCGACCCTGTCTCAGGAACAAAGGCCTCTGCCCTTGGCATCTGCCTCAGGACACCTCCCAGAGCAGTGGTATTGTTCACCTTCAGGGCCAGGCTCCATCTCACCTACTCAGAGAGTCAGGCCCTCTCTGTCTTTCCCCTCTCAAACAGGCCCCTTCCTTACTCTGTACCACAGCACCGGTTTGTCTTCTTCATGGCGGTCACTGACATCTGCAATGACCTTGCTAGCTGACTTGTTTACTGTCTGTCTCGCTCCACTGGAGTGCACGCTCTGAGAGCAGGGTCCTTGAGTTTATAAGTCGTGCTTGCTGCAGAGCCCCAGATCCTACATGAGTGCCTGGCATTCAGTGTTTAATAAATATGGTTGAATGAATGACATTTTATAATTGTCAGTAAATGGCGAATAGGAGAAAAAAAGTTTCAGTTATAAAACAATGGGCCTTGTAATAGCTTTATTGGAATCCACCTAGAACTATGAAAAGTATAGGCAGATTGCTAAAAAGGGCTATGATAAATTCATATTACTAGGCAGAGAGACTATAAATAAAAAGAACAATGTAAATACAGATAAGGATGATATTAATGCCAGCTAACACTTACTCAGGGCATATTACATATTGGGCATTTTTCTAAGCACTTTATATGGATAAATTTATTTAATGCCACCCCTCCCTATAAGGTAAGTACCAGTATTAATGACCTTTTTACAGAGGAGGAAATTGAAGTATATGGAAGTTAGGAAACTTGCCCAGGTCACACAGTTACTAAATGGCTGGGCTGGTATGTGACCTCAGGGCTCAGAGGCCACGGTCTTAACAACTACTCCATGGAGAGGAGATTCCACCCACTACGTTCCATGAGAAAGGACTTCTGTGGCCAACTGAGTCTGAGAAAACCGAGTCAAAGCTAGACAGGTATTTTATGCTACAACTTTTCAGAGCCTTTAATATACTAAAATACATTTTGAATTTCCAAAAAGGACGTCTTTTGCAAATAATCTGATTGCAGGGATCATTTTCATAGAATTTTTCCAAAAGACTAGTGTTCCAAGAAAGATTCTTTAGGAAATGCTCCTCTCCAACACCAATAAAAGAATTCTCAAAAGTAACTATGATATCGGGGCTGGCCTGGTGGTGCAGCAGTTAAGTTCGCTTGTTCCACTTCAGCGGCTCAGGGTTCACCGCTTCAGATCCCAGGTGCAGACCTAAGCACGGCTTGTCAAGCCATGCTGTGGCGGGCATCCCACTTATAAAGCAAAGGAAGATGGGCACGGATGTTAGCTCAGGGCCAGTCTTCCTCAGCAAAAAGAGGAGGATTGGCAGCAGATGTTAGCTCAGGTCTGATCTTCCCTAAAGGAAAAAAGGAAAAAATTTTTTTAAAAAGTAACTATAATAACAATCTTCCTAACTGTTCCAGTTACTAGGGTTGAGTAACAAATCACTCAAAAACTTAGTGCCTTGAAACAACAATAACAATTCACCATCTATCAGCGTTTCTGGGGTCAGGAATTTGGGAGCAGCCTGGCTGGGCAGTTCTGACTCGGGGTTCTCAGGAGGGTGCAGCTGGGACCTCATCATCTGAAGGCTTGACTGGGGCTGGAGGAGCTGCCTCCAAGGAGGCTCTTTCACATGGCCATGAGGTGGTGCCGGCTAGGAGCCTCACTTCCTCTTGTTGGGGCTGTGTGAGTGTGTTACTGGCATGGCAGCTTGATTCCCCCAGAACAAGCAGTCCCAGAGACTATAGCAGAAGCTTCAATGCCTTTATAACTTAGCCTCAGAAGCCATACATTGTCATTTCTGCCATATTCTACTGCCCAGGAAGTTGCAATGGTCCACTCAGGTTCAAGGGGAGGGAACACAGACCTCACCTCTCCTTTTCAATGAAGCAGTGACATCATCACATTTCAAGAAGAGCATGTGGGATGGGATACGTTTGGATGCAGCCATCTTTGGAAAATACAATCTGCTATTCTAAGTATCACAAATTGCACAAAGATATAGTTACAGGATATTCATCAGAGCACTGTTTATAATAACAAAAAAATGACTTAAATCTTCATCAAAAAGTACCTGGTTTCCAGTTAGAAGATAGAACGAAAGAGAAAATCCCATTTGCAACAGCCAAAGCAAAAGAAAAAAACTAAGAATAACAATAAAAACTGCAGCACACACCAACTTAACAAGAAAAGTCCACAATCCATGTAAGAAACTCAAAGACATTCTTGAAAGAGACAAAAATATATTGTAACAAATGGAAAAATACATTACATTCTTGGATAGAAAAAGGAAATATCATAAAGATGTTAGTTTTCCCTAAGTTAATTTATAACCATAATGTGGTCCCATCCTGAAGTCAGACAAGTCAATTACGAAATTCATGTGGAAACATGCAAGAATGGTCAGAATAACTGCAAACAAATCTTGACCTCTAGTGAGCGATCTGCACGCTGAAGCATCTAAGGGGAAGTATACTGATGTTTGCAGGGCTAAGTGAATAAACAGAAGGATAGATGGGTGAAAGAAGCAAACATAGTAAAATGTAAATGGTAAAATGTAGGTGGTAGGTATACAGTGTTCGCTGTCAAATCTGACTTTGCTAAATGTTTTAAAATGTTTATAACAAAATGTGGTGGGAGGTTGGAGAGAAGAATAGCCAGGAAAATTCTAAAAAAGAAAGTGTGATATTAGAGCATGAAAAGATTGATAGACCAATGAAACGGAACAGAAAAATCCCAAAATAGACTCAGTTGTGTATAGATATTTAGTATACAATAAAGGTTTAATAAGTGGGGCTGGGATAAATAGGTAGTTACATGGGAAAAGGATCAAAGTGTTTCCTTTCCTTACACTGTACACCAAGATAAATTCCAAACGCATCAGAGATACGGACATAAAAAATGAACCACACATGTGAGAGAAATATGGGTGAATTCTTCTGTAACTTAGGAGTGGACAAAACTTCACCAGGACTCAAAACCCAGAAGCAATAAAGGAAAACACTGCTAAATTTAACTACATAAAATTTTTTAAATATATTTTTTTGCATGACAAAAAATACCATAAATGGTGGGCGATGTTGACAATCGGGGAGGCTGTGGGTGAATGGGGACAGGGGATACATGGGAATTCCCTGTACTTTCTGCTCATTTTTGCTGGGAACCTAAAACTGTTCTAAAAAATAAAACCTATTAAAAAACAAACACCATAAGTAAAGTAAAAAGAGGATGAAAGACAGCAACACAACAGCACACTAGACAAGAGAGTTCAGAGAAAAACAAAAGCAAATAGCTGTTTAACATGAAAAGGTGCTTAATCTCATAAGATAACACGTTACAACCTACACTAAGACACCATTTCTTGCCTAGTGTGACTGGCAAAAACAACAAGTTTGAAGACATAGCGGTTGGTCAGGTTGTGGAGACGCAGGCACTTTCATATACTGATGGTATGATTGCCAAATGGCGTTAACTCCTTTGGCAGGGAATTTGGTAATATCTAGCAAAATTACATACGTACTTACTCTCTAACCCAGCAATCTCACTTCTATGAATCTATCCCAAAGATAAAGCAATAATATTAAAAGGTATGTGCAAGGCACATTGTAGCAATTTTGTAATTCAACTTTAATACACCAAAAGCCTGGAATCAATCCCTATGTCCATCCACATGGAACTGGCTGAATAAACTCTGGAGTACCACGGAGCTGTAAAAAGGAATGAAGAATCCCTTTATATACTGCTACAGAGCAATCAAGTGAGGCGGAGAAAAGTGTGTACAGAAAGGAACTTCCTTAATCTGATAAAACATATCTACAAAAAATCTACAGCTGACATCACACTTTATGGTGAAAGACTAAATGTTTTCCCCCAAGATGAGGACTAAGGTAAAGATAGAGTAGACCTGAACAAGCGAGGAGAAAGAACAATTACAAAACTTCCTCTGATATGGAAACCTAATAAAGATATTACTGGAAAGGAAAATTAGACAAATACCCTCATGCTCATAAATGGAAACATCCTTAGCAAATATATGCAAACTGAATTTAACAATACATAAAGACAACGCATCCTGACAAGTGGGGTTTATCCCAGGAATGCAAAGTTGCTTTAACACTTGAAAATCAATCAATGTCATACACTACATTAACAGAAAAGAAGAAAACCACATGATCCTTTCATTTGATGCAGAAAAAGCATTTGAAAAATTCAAGATACCTTTATGATAAAAACTTTCAGCAAACTAGGACTGGAAAGTGTGCAGGAAAGGGCTGACTCCACCTTCTTT